TTATAAATATTCGCCTAAAAACTTTTGAGTTAAACATTGATTATAAAGATTATAAATTTCGGTTGTCTCAAGAGGATTTGGAACTTATTTATAAAAGTTGGGCGAATCGAGTACCGTATAACTCATTTTCCTTGACTGATCAGAGTTTATTAATTCTGAATTAGGTGTAATTAGAGAATTTCAACAGTTGGGTATAATTAAAAGATTTGTGATAAAAAGATATGATTTGAATATGTTAAAATTTGATGTCATATAGAACATTTTAGGATCTTTATTCTATCATTTTGAATACTTCTTTTCTTGTTTAAATTTGAAATATAGATTCTATTGCTAGAATTACCATGGGAATAAAAGACATCTTCTTTATTTTTATTTGCTATTAATTAATAAAATTTTAATATTTTATTTATTGTTCATGTGAAACCGTATATGGCGTTAACTATTCAAATGAATCTTTTAATTGAACGTGATGCTAAACCATTGAATATTCAAAGAAATCTATTAATTGACCAATATTTTATATTGAGGTTATTTATTGAGTGCAGTGAGAGGAAATTTATTTCGAGCCAAATTTTTAGCGGTTAACATTATTTTAGAAATAATACTTTTTTATGCTTGCTCAAAATGAGATAATACTAAGTAGGACTTTGAACACAACGAATTATCTAATACAAGCTTTGATCATGAATTATTAATATAACTTACCCTCGCAGAACGCAAAAGTTTTTGAATTATCATCAAACATATTTTATGGATGGATTTCGAATTTTTTTATTTTACTAGATAATCAAATTAACAATGTACTTCTATGGATTAACGGAACGTTTTTTATCAATGATAATAATTTCAGTGGTGAGAATTGTTGATTAATTTCTTCGATTAGAGTAATGTAATGAACATATCCAAATAGCTTTAAAATTTTTTATTTCGCCATTAGAATTCCAAATACAATAATTATTTAGATATTTAACAAAAAGTCCGGAATTTATGCAATATGTTAAACAATTAGAAAAGGATTGATTTCTGATATGATATTGACCTTAATTTCAATAGGATGATTGGAATATAGATATCAATATGATATTAATTGTTCTGATGCTTTTAGTTGGGTCAAATAAATCCAAAAGAGAATTGTAAATGAATTGGAAATAACAAATCATTTTTATTATTATTATAAAAAAGATGATAAATTAATTAGATTTTACCAAGAAATAATTGTATTTAAAAGGTTATGATATAAATTGGAATGTAAATACGAGAATTAAAGTCATGAAAATTATCCTAATAAAATTAATTTAAAATCTGCAAAACTTATTTGACTAATATAATGAATTTTCCTACAATTTATAATAGTAGGGCTTTTGGGTAATTTCATGTCTTTGTTTGAATATTCAAACTTTCTCAAATATTGTAATAATAATGTGAGAATTCTGAAACTATCCTTCATTTTTTAGACTCACCAAAATAATAATATTAACATGGGATAAATTTACCCGTTTAAATATCGATGGCATAATGATTTTTATCTATTAAGATTTGTAAAGAAATTCTTATTTACGTTTATTTTTCGAAGTATAAAATTCCTACAACGCGCGAATTTTCATTTTATTGTTACAATATAAAATATTACTTTATTAAAATGACTTGGTACAAATCAAAAATATAATTTATTATGGAATAAAACCAAATTAAAAAAGGTAGGGGGCGGCCAGAGACGCACGATCGTAATCTTGAGTTTCAGACATTGTATTCCTACATCTTTTAAGACGTTAGCATTTAAAATGTGAAGTTCGGCGCGCTCCCAAGAAGTAGACTTCTCTGTAATGATTCTTTCAGTAGTACCTTCTGTACCCAATGCGTTTAAATCAACCCTCTTTTTCCATTCGTATTTCCAAAGGGTATTTGTGAACCCACAGTGGTGGGTTCGGCTTGTTTCTTACAAAGCTTGCATATGCTGAGATGTGGCTCTGTAGAAAACTTGTAAGTGCCGTAACCAAAATAATATGAGCGAGCTCATGTCAAATTAATTTTCAACAATATTTACCCTCGAGATTGAGGCCATGAGTTGTTTTCCTCAAATTAAACCGTTTACTCGAACTACCACTTGCAAACTTTCTTTTGACTTAAAGAACTTAAAGAGAAATTTGAACTTGAAGCCTGAAGAATTATTCATCGTAATAAAGTGATATCGATATAACCATTTCTTTGAAAAAAAAATTTTTTATATACATTTTTTACCCTTATAAAATAGGTTTAATTACACTTTTACGTACAAACGAAATTATTATAATTATTATAAATAAAGATGCCAATAATATTCTATATTTGATAGTATAAAGAAAGGCATATTATTATTTTTTTTTTTTTAAAAAAAAAAACAACCGATGCATGCAGTCTTAAGATCAAATTAACCTATTTTTTGGGACAATATATATTAAAAAAAAAAAAATAAATAAATAAAAATTTTTGACTTTTTATGGCTTACAATTTTATTTCTGACGAAAACTTATCATTTAACAAAAAAATATTAAAAAAAGGAGATAATTATAAGATATTAATTGTATAATTATTTTTGCGACTCAGTCGGACTAAAAAAGGTCTAACGACTGACTAAGTCGACTCCATAATTTATCACGGTTAATAATATTTTTAGGTAAAGTATTGTCTCAAACGTCGGCGCATTATATCCTAATCTAATGCTATTATTTATACACATGCATTTTACTACAAGCGAAACCCACCTTTTTATACCTAATTTTTATCAAGGACTTATTGTCCAGAAGAAATTATGGCCACGAAACAATTTTGCCAGAAGACAAGTTGGCCAGAGAACAATTTGGCCAAATTTACATAATCTAATTATATGCGATAAATTATAAACTATGCCCCGAAGTTAATAGACCAATAATATCAGTTCGTAAACAGTAACCTTTTATGTTCTAATTTTATAAATCGTAATTGCGTAATAACGCAGCAAATATAATTAATTTATTTACCAAAAAAATTTTAAGAGGGCGTCATTTCGAATAATTCATTCAAAAAATGACTTAAAGCAAAAAATAAAAATCCCCAGTATAAAACAATGTTCAGTTTCTGTCTGCAAAAATTATATATATATTTTTTTGTTACACATTTTGTTAACATAATCAATGATAAAGTTAAATTATCCGATTCATATCTTTTTATGCCATAATTTATTACAAATTCACAATGAATGATCGTTTTGTTTACTTTTTTTTTTTATTTAATCGTTGGTTTCTTATAACAATCATCAAATAGCATTTAATAATTTTTTTTTTTTTTTTTTTTGGATTGAGGCAAATCAAATGGGGTTTTGAGAATTTTTTGACTAAATTTAATTCATATTTTTATTGCATTTTAATCTAATATCATCAAAAAGTAAAATGCAATAAAAATCAAATTTTATTAAAAATTCTCAGAACCTAAAATAGAAAAATCATTTTTAAGATTCGTTTAATTTTTTTTTATTTAATAAATTGAGAGAATTTCATTAACTTATCGATGCAAATTATTAACCGGCATATTGAAAATAGACGTATCCACCATTGCTGTAACAATAGAAAATTCTTCAACCATTCTTTATCATAGGATAAAAAAAATCTGAAGCGATCCATCCCAAACGCAATGCTATAAAAAAGTTAAAAAGCCCATAAATATCAAGAAAATAAAGTCGCGGATGAACACCCAAAAATAACAAAAAAAAAAAAAAAGAAAACACATACCACACTTCTGAAAATGATACTATAAAATGAGCCTAATTATTAATTAAAATAATTTTTATAAAACAAAAAATAAATTAAAATTAAACAAAAATTGAAAGATAAAACTAAAAAAAAGACTTTTCTTGTATATTCTCGAACCTAAAATTAAAAAATAACAAAAGAAAAATACATAAAACTGTAAAAACAAATAAAGTTTAACAATTCTATTATATGTTAAATTTTTCTTGAAAAATTTTTTTTTTTGTAGACAAATTATTTTTTTTTGAAGACAGTTTTTCAAATAGTATTAAACAAATCAAATCATTACCGTCAAATATCGAAACTCGATAATCGATTCTAAATCAATTCTACTTGTTTTTAGATCGATTCCAATTGCTAATACACATGTTTTGATGGATAAGAAAATTGTTCCGCTATACTCGGAACCTTGATCCGTATCTTTAATAATCTATTTTTTATATTATATAAATGATTTTTGGGGGGGGGGGGGACGAAATCCTCGAAAACTGCAAATTCTAGTTGATGATTAAGACATTTAAAATAACAAAATGGAAATTAAATTTTATTTTCAATTTTTGTAGTTATTATTAAATAAATTTCGTAACAATTTAACGTAAATTCACTTAAAAAGTATAGCAAAAAAGATTTCCAAGTTTATGAAGAAAAGTAAATATAGTTTGTTAAAATAATGACCGCAACACTTCGAGACATCAACATTAATCCAAGGTCAAATCCATGGAATTTCTAAAAGTAAATACCTTTTACCGAGGGACTTTGAGCGTAGTTAATTCCGAATAAGTTGAGTTTCAGACTATGCAATACTTCAAGGTAGTATACTCAAAATTCAAATAAAGATTTTCTAGGGGCATTTATATGTATAGACTAATCGTAACGAAGCAGATGTGAAAATTGATAGTTGCTTTTAATTCAAAATGTGAAGTAGTTATTTTATTTTTAGGATTCGTTGTTCAAATCCATTAAAACATATATCTTTATTTTAAACTACAATATAGCCAGGATTACATATACTCCTGCTGTGATAAAAATATGTAAATAGAAAATCAAAATTAATAAAAAAAAATATATATATATTATATATAAGATGAATTCGATTGTTAATGAAAAAAAATAAAGAATACTTACATTAAAATTAATTAGTTGACTATATAAGCTTTTCTCAATTTTTTCTTGTCTTTAGCATTCGACTTTCTTATTTTCCAAAATCCTTTCTGTTATTTATTTTATGAAGTTCCCAACATGCTGGAAGTATGCGCACCATCCGCTTTTATTGACCCCCTTGCTTCGGAGGTCACGTTGAACCCTTTAAATTGCATAATACACGTGATTATATAATTTAATAGCCGTCGTTAATTGACAATCCTTTTCCAAATATAGTTAGGCACATAGTGATTTATATTATAAAATATACTTTGAACAACCAACCGCGCTCACAAATATTATATACTGTACATGCAAAAAACAAAAAAGAAACTAATCATGTCTGTTCAGCTAATAATGTTATTTCTTTTTTTTAAAAAAAAATTCTTTGGCTCAAAAAATTCCATCAAAAGAAACCCGTGTCATGGGATCAATACATCGTTATAAGACCGAATGGTACTCAGATAGTAACATTGAATACCTCGACTCATCGAAATTTTACACCATAAATTATGATGATACAATAAGCCATTGACAAAAAATAAATTGGAGTTTAACGGTGTCTAATGGTTTTACCTTGGCAGATGGAATTGATTGCTGTATCTTGTTTTATGATGATGATATGAAATGTAAGAATCAAACTCCAGATGTTGAAGTTGAGAAAGTTTAATGATACGATTAAACGTGCTGAAGCGTCCTCATGGATCATTTCTTGTACGCAGCATTCATGAGTTTCCTCTTTAATTCATGAAATGGGCGGTATAGTCAAATTCTTGGATAACAAAGATAGAACATGAGACAATCAGGGAAATCATTTATAACGGGGTGGATCTTATGAGAATGACTGGACCAATCTCTTTTTTTCTAATAATCAATTGAAGAATTTCATTATCCACAAGAATTCTCTTTGGAAATGCAGAAAGATCACATTATATTCTGCAAAGTTTTGTAAAGAATTGTTTAGTTATGGAAACTTATTAGAACAAAGTACAAACTGTTGAAATGTATAATTGGAAGCCAATTCATTAGAAAATACTTTTCCAAAACGAGAAAAATCTGCTGCTTCGGTTATCCGAAAATGTTCGCCATCTCGAAATAATTGCTTATTGTCATACAAATAGCTTTACCATCTACCTAATGGAAAATGGTTTGGAGGTTACCACAAAGAAATTAAAGAGAAGAAATTTCGTCGAATTCGTTTTTTGGATGATCAATTATTGTTTGTCATTGATGAATAAAGGTATAATGAAGTTGAGGGAGATGACATTACAAATGTCATTGTGTTGAGACTTATTTAACAGCTCGTATTATTTTGTCAGAAAAATTGATGACACATTTCCATTCTTTCCCGAAAAGCGTGACATCTTAGTTAATGCTGCTGGAATCTTTTTACCATCACTGAACGCGGAGTTATCATTCGACTTTAAAATGAAAAGTAGAGCAGAAAAAACTACCAGTCAGAGTCTAGGTTATTTAATCCCTTAAATGATTTATGAGAAAGTCAAATTCTCTTGATAAATTTCATGCTTCTACCTCTTCAGCAACGGAATATCTTATTTTATGATTCGGCTAGAAATTTTTTGGACTTCAAAACTGAATATAAGTAAAGATATTATTTATAATTCTGAACCTTAGGTACATGATGATAACAATTAATCGTTGGAAAATCCTCTGCGTAAAGGCTCATAATGAAACAGATAAACATAATAAAATGGAAATTCAATCATTGGCAGTTGGTCACAAGGAATCCTCTTTGGCGTTACTTATCCCTTCCGGAATTTCTCCCAAACCCGAATCAATTAAAATCGAACGGCCTGAAAAGGTTAATTATCCCATAGCCGCGTGTAAAGCATTGGAATTCCTTTATAAGATAAAGAATGAACCTTCGGGTCCAAAAGACAACATCAATTTGAAAATTTAGTACAGCAAACTGAATACATTATACATAAATGTTTAATTAAAAAAATGCGGTTTATGGAAGATGTTGGATATTTGATTTGATATTATGGCCAACCTTATTCGTGGTAATCGCATAACAACGATCACAAATATTTTATCTCTTGAATCTGATGATGAAAGAATAGTAAACATTGATACCCCAATAATAAAGTCTTGGAATGAAAATGACTAAGAATTCACCGATCTAGAGATCGTTATCTAATGCACTAAAAGGTAAGGATACATTTATATATTCTGATAATGCAACAAACTTCAAATTGGATGATTATAGTTACTAAAGCAATCCCTTTCCTTTATAAATGTTAATTAAAATTTTATGTTAAAGAATTATTTCAAAAGCCTTATTTGGTGTTAATGAAGTTTACTTGGAAAATTTCAAGTATTTGTTATTCGGACATGACCAAAAACAGTTACAAGAATTTCCATGCATTAAATGTAAATTTGAGCCTTTTAAAGAGGAAAAGTATAACTTTTTACAAAGGATAATTATTCAAGAAAAACAAAGGTAAGATTAATTGCAATTATTATGAAAGGTTATATTGAAATGAACTTTTTTTTAATTACTGGAAAGGAGAAAAATTTCAAATTTATTGAACAAGGAATTTATTAATCAAGTTTACATAGTGCCACTTCACCGTATATCCTGAAGGAATCGATGAGAGGAATACTGGAAGATTCCTTTTAATTATTAATTTAACCACGCCGTCATTTAATCAGAAAAGAAGAAAAGTTGAGCTCATTCTTGAGAATTATAAGGAATGACAATAGCGCAACAATTTATGACATTCCATCAATAGCCGCTGTAATTGATTTCAAATGGAACGCAGCGAGAAAAATATTTTTTCAAGACAATTGTTTGTTTATTTTGCATTTACATTAACTTATGCTCTTATAACGAGAGCGATTAAAGAATCCAACAGAGTTATAGCAAAAGTATAATTCTATTTAAATGTATATTTTTACTTGCAAATATATTTTTTTTTGGTTGGGATTTTATATATTGAATATTGAAAGGATTCAATTAAAGTATGATGGATGAAAAAGATATTTTAGTGTTTATAATTTCTTTGATTTGTTTTCGGTCATATTACCACCATACAATCATCTGGGTTGGTGGAAAATAACCCACAGATTTATCTCGTTTAAAATTTTAACAATGTGGATGGAACTTTTTTTGGTAAGCTTTTGAATTTTGATTTTAATCGCTTTTTTTTAGAAGAATTCATTTTACGTGTCCATTAACGTTCAAAACTAGATCAATTACATAGTTGTTACGGTAGATTGAAAAGGCTGGAGCTTACATCTTTATTATTGTCATAAACTTGCAAGAAATTACATCCTTCTTGATCTTTATTCTTTTGGTCGTTCTCGGGTTTGGACATCCCATGTAAGCAGACCTTGATGATTATTGATTTCGATTAATTATGATTTTAAATTATTTTGTCTGATGGGTTTGTTTTGCTAAATAACACTACAGAAATGAATCTTAATGCAGAAAGCAATTCCTTCAAAATCTATGATATCTGTACCAGAAATCTCTCAATACGTAATATTAATAAACTGTCAGATAATTATTACGCAACTTTTGCTAAATCTATTGAAGCAGTTTTTTTTTGGACAATTGGAAGTTGAAAACAATGGAATTTCTGGACAGTAGATAATTATTCTATAATTGCTAGCATCCTTCTCGTTACGATTTTCAGAACATTCTGATTGTAATCATGACGTAAGTATAGAAATTTTCATTTTCATCATTAAACCAAATCTAATTTTTTCTATTTTATTGTCCATTGGCGCTTATGAAAAAACAAAAGAAGATGGTAGGCATACCATATTAAAATAACGAGCAGAATTGATAGCAGATTATGAAACAATCGATAAACCTCTGGGAAATAGGAAAGAGAAACCGATATATTTATTTCATTGGAAATCCAATTATATAGAAGAATGGTTAGAAAAAGCCGAGAAAGCTAGGAAATGTCGTAAGAATTACTTGACTGAAATTGATAAAAGTAATTCATAGTATTATGATGATGACGATGATGACGAAGAAGCAATAATTTATTATCAAACACCCCATACCCCACAAGATCTTTCTTATGGTTACCCTCAATTAAAGTGGTGCTTCAAATATTGATTCGATTTCTATCAATTCGCAAAGAACGGAACGACAAACTCCATTGTCTTTAAATTATTTGTTAATGAGGATTATAGAGTTAAGAACAAATCATCAAATGACAATGATCAAATAGTCAAAGATCAAGAGGATAAATCGTTACAAAATAAAGTTGTCAATGGAACAAGATATTAAATATTAACAACTTTAAAAATAACTGTAATTAGTTTTTTTTTGATTTGGTATATTTTAATACCTTAATCCATTCTATTCTCTATAGATTAATTTGTATTATATAGATAGTTTATTTTAATTTGTTTTATTAAATATATACGATGATACACGTTCATAATGTGTTGTGTTCTATAAATTTAATTAATTTATGATTCATCCTAATTTCAAAAAAATAAAACAATTAAGTTCATAAAAATTCCTTTTTATCGTAAATTTAATATTGACTGATAAACTAAATTATTATGATATAACGAGCAAAAATTTTTTCTTTTTAGAAATTATGAATTATAATTTTTTCGAATATTAATTTAAAACTAGGTGATAAAGATAATGAATTTAGTTAAACAAAAAATATATATATATATTTTTATTCATAAAATTTATATTTATTAAGAAATTTTTACAAATTATATTTTTAATACAATTAATTATTAATTTATTATTTTATTATCTACTTATCTTCTACAAATTACTTTTGATCCACCACTTTTATAATTTTATGTTAGAAATCCCTATTACCTTATGGCGAAGAAGAATGAGTACAACATCAATACCTCTTCAATGAATTGGACCATCAGTCGATTTCATTCTGGGCGTTGGACCTATATCCACTTCTTATAGTTTAACCTATTAACATAATAAGAATGAGAGGTTAACCTATGATCATTCTGGGTCAAGCAAGAATGTATAAAACAAAAAATGATGCAACAACGAAAGCAATTCAGGACATCTCCCAAACTTCAATCCGTCATTAATCATAGTTCGTATCCAATACCAAATAATGATTGATTCAACAATTATAAGATATCATCAGCAATTCAGGATGTCTCCCAGGCCCTCAATCCATCATTGAATCAACTCTTATTAGTGCTCCCTAATAAAAGTCATTAAAGTATGAAATCATAATCACCATTTTTTCTTGTACTTTTCAGACACATTATATCATTGCTAAATTATAGGTATCTGCCAGTAAAGAGTCGATCAAAGAAAATAAATTCTTGAAACTAAAGTGCATTTAAATGCAATAAAATTCTAAATAAAGTTAGCAAAGATCGTGCTCCTAAGTCATTTCCTAAAAGCACCCTGTATCAGAGTTTTATGTTAGGCGTCGACCGCAACTCTTCGAGGCAGTATAATCCGTTTTATCTCGCACAAAGGACAAATCCAGGGGCTTGCTAACAATGTATGTAAAGACATACCTCTTCACCAAAGACGTTTGTCGTAAGTTACAAGAATAAGAAAACATTTTGTCGTGTTAAATATATTTAACGGCGTTTTAAATAAGAACTATTTAAGTGTATAATATTTTAGCAAAGATCTTTTCTAATATATTATGCAACGACCTATATTTAAAAATATTTTTTTTTGTCTTCTGTTGTTTGAAAGCGAAAGCAAAATTTATTTTTCAAAAAAAGAAAGTTTAAAAAGGTATAAAGGTATATATATTATTTTACGCGTTACGTCACGCAGTTAAACCAATTTTGAAACGTCATGTGTGAGTCACGAGAATTGTTATAAAAGTTAATATAATTTTTTCTTTGAAACACATGATACGATTTATAATATAATCATCCTATTGTATAACAGGAAATTGAAATACAAAAGGTTCATTATTTTTGTCATTTCATTTTTGACTGGTAACAAAAAAATCCTGATAATCATCAGGGTTAACAAAAGGAACAGAAATTCTTCCGTTGGGACAACAGAAGCTTGAGTACAATTATCAGGAAAGAAATCCATTGTAACGATGACTAATCTCAAAATTAATTTCCGTAACAAAAAATGTAAAAAAATATCCCCTAATAATTAAAATTTAATTGATTAATTACCTATCTAGCAAAAAATCTAAATCATCATTTAAAGTACTATCAAGCGTCGCTTTACATCTACAGAACTAAATTTGTAATAATTAGAATGAGAATGCACGGAATTCAATAATAACAATTCGCTCGCAAACTAGAAATAATATAAAAATTAATACAGTTAGTATTAATAATATAATAAAATTAATTTAAAAAAAAATTTAAAAAAATTTTAATTTTTATAAAGCAAATTTGAAGAGAATTTAAAGTAATTAAGTCAGCAAATTTGCTTGTAAATTTCTACAATATAGAGAATATAGAGCCTATAGATTTGTGTTTTGCATAATAGTGAATGATTATGCTAATACATACATTGCACTTTTTTGAACTTTCAGATAATTTTTGCATTTTCTTATTTACTATTTAAGAAATATTAATGCTAATTTGATTGTCAATTTTTTTTAAAAAAAAGATGGTCTCAATATCAAAGAGTTTTTAATTTTAAATTAATTTTTATTTAAAAAATCAAAAAATTATATTATAAGATTTGTATTTAAGTAGTTAAATATAAATAAAAGTCTGATAAATAAGCTTATATAAACTCTCTGTCTTATTTAAAAGAAAAATAAAATAAAATAAAAGTAATAAAAAGATTTAATATCAAGTATTTATCAAATTAGATTTGAAAAAAAAAATAAAATTGTATCTTATTGAAATATTTACCAAAGCTGATATATTACTTTAAAAGGTTATTAAATTTAAAACTTTTTTTAATTATATATACTAATTTATTTACATTGGTTAAAATCA